TTCCCTGCCTTGGATGGTTTTTAGGTGGAGTCGTTTGCACCAAAACCCAATAGCTGCTGCTGTTCTTGCTGCTATTTTTTTTTTTTTTAATGATCCTGTTTCCACAGCAGGGGAAGAGAGAACTGATCCTCAACATACTCCCAGAGAATGAATAATCACAAGAAACTGGCTTAAGCAGCTCCCTGGATGTGGTGCATGATTTCGATTGAATTCGATTTGATTTAATTTTTTTTATTTTTATTTATTTCTTTTTTCCCAAGTCATCGTTCGCATTTTATTTCCTGCATTTCTTCCTTTTTTTTTTTTTTTTTTTTTTTTTTTTCACCTTTTGGGAGATTTGCAAACCGAATTACATGCATGTCCAGTGGGGGAAGGTTTAATTTTGACGATGGAGGGTCGTACTGTGGAGGCTGGGAGGACGGAAAGGCTCATGGCCATGGAATCTGTACCGGCCCGAAGGGTCAAGGTGAATATTCGGGCTCCTGGAGTCACGGCTTTGAGGTGCTGGGGGTCTACACTTGGCCCAGTGGCAACACTTACCAGGGCACCTGGGCGCAGGGCAAGCGCCATGGCATTGGCATGGAGAGCAAAGGGAAGTGGGTGTACAAAGGAGAGTGGACCCACGGATTTAAGGGACGGTACGGGGTCCGGGAATGCACTGGAAACGGGGCCAAGTACGAAGGCACCTGGAGCAATGGATTACAGGATGGCTACGGGACAGAGACCTACTCGGATGGAGGTAGGTGATGCATTCATCCCTTCCTGCCTGGGGGACAGGGGTGGAGGGTGGTGGGGAGAACCTCCCAGCGGGGTTTGGGTTGGAGTCTGGGAGTTTGCAACCTGCTGGCTTGGATCAAGGGATGCTCCCACCCTGCGGGAGAGAAGGAACCAGCCCAGCGTGGCACCAGCCCAGCTCTTGGCCACAGGTAGCCCCATATGTTCCGTGGGGTCTACCTGGGTGCTCCTTCCTCTCCTCAAGCAGGATTTTGGGATGTGGAAGGGGCTGTGCTGCTGGGGGGATGCCCAGCTCTGGCCCAGACAGGTGGGAGCATGGGGTGGGCCAGGCCTTGGGGCCACAACCCAAGTTGCACATGGGATTGGCAGTTCTGACTGCACCACTGGAACCTGTAGGATTTGCACGGGAACAACGCGGGGCAGGATGGAGCCGAGTGTGTGTTGGGGGGGGATCCGGGGAGGATGGGGCAGCTCCAGTGCTGCCAGAGCTCCCAGCCAGGGCTGGGGGGGCTCTGCACCTCCTCCAGCCCCTCCAAAGGCAGCCCCACGTTCAATAATACCCCAGGGAAAAGACTTTAATTCAGACAAGAGTCTTACATTCCTAGTTTACGGCTTAATGCTTAGCGTAGGGGCTCAGAGGGATCACCAGAGCTCTTCTCTGCCGTCAACACGGCTTAACGAGATGCTGAGGGGAAACTGGGATTAGAGGAAAAACAAGAAAACCCAATTGGAGCGATCAAACCCAAAAAAATTGCTGGGCTAACAAGCTTTAGGGCTGAACTGGGAGAAACAGCTGGTGCCGTGCTGTAAGTGGCTGTATCATCCTCTCTCCTGGGTTGTGGCTGCTTCCACAATCGGAATTGCCACCATCTGAGGCAGGCCTACCTGCCAGCAGCCAGGGGCACTGGGCTCTGCTGGCCCCTTGTTTTCCTGGGAATTGTGGCCTCCTAAAGCAGGCTCACGGGTTATTTTTAGGACGTTATGGTTTTCCATACGGCTCCGGTGAGGAAATTGCAGCGTCGGGGAGCTCCATCGCAGCCTTCCCGAAAGGTGCTGCAAGACCTTGCTCTGGAAAGCCCAGTTTGCTGCTTTGTGGTTGCACAGGGAGGGGAGGTTAAATCTCACCTGCAGCTGCTTTTTTTTTTTGTGCTCTCGCAGGGAGAGGCAGAACCACCTCGGGATTTTTAATGATAATTTGGTGCCGGTAGTTTTCTCCCAGAGAAAAAGAGAGCTGCAACCTTTTGTTTCGGCTGCCTGGAAGGATGCTGGGGGACTGAGCTGGGATGTGCTGGGTGTGTGTTTGGAAGCCATGGATAAATCCCAGCAGTCCTTCAGTCCAGAATAAAGCTTGGGCAGGGAATCATCGCCGTCTCCCACGTCCAAGGCGGTCAGGAGGGGCTGGGGGGGATTTTCTGCTTGCTCTCAACGTGGGTGCTGTCTCCTCCTGGCACCCAGCCCCTGCCTGGGAGGTTTGAGGGAGGACAGACACAAGTCTGGACTAACTACAGGTCTCTGAGGGCTGGGTGTTGCAGGGCTGGCCCTGTCCCCAGCCACGCACGTGCCCCCGCCCCGGCACGCTCCCCATCCTCTGCAGCGCAGCGTTTTTTAGGGAAACCTGGGCAGCATCCCCACACTGGGGTGGCTTAGCAGCACTTTCAGCCTTTTCTGAGAAGCTACCAGAAGCAAAGAGCTTTTCCTTCCATCTTGTCAGGCCAGCCCGGCTTCCCGGCGTTCAGGGACCCGAAAGCGATGTCGCGTGTTCGCGATTTCGGGAGGAGGGAAGAGGAGCAGTGCTGGGAAAGGGCAGGGTCTGTGGCAAAATGGTCCCCCTGGGACTCTGCAAACCTTCCCAGCAGGAAGGAGTGCCGTGCTGGGGAAATGCAGAGCGCTGGTATCAGTGGATGCTCCTCCACACCAGCTTCCCCCAGCTCAGCTGGGCCAGAACCATCTCCAAGGCCACTTTCACCAACTCAGCTCTCAGCACCCAGAGGCCACATCCCTTTCCCGGTTTCCTGCCTCCATTCTGGGTGGAAACTACCAAAGCTGGGCACCTGCAGCCTTTTTGGACGCCAAGCCTTGCTGAACTTTGTGTGTTTGGGTCCCAGAGGCCGCTGCGTGCGGGAGCGGTGGCACCGGGGAGGCAACTGTTGGGAAGGATGTTTCTCATTAATCTATTCCAGTTATTACCTCCAGCAAACCGAAGTATCCAAGAATCCTCGCCCCAGCATCTGTCACTTGCCACCCACAGATAAATATTCATCCCTTGCACATCTTTTTTTTTTTTTTTTTTTTTTTTTTTTTAGCTCCCCAGCCCTGGCTTGGGGATGGGGATGCGCAGCGAGGTTCGGGGAGCCCCAAAATCCACGGATTCGCTCCGGTTTTCCCATTCCCTCACACAACAGCAGGGAAGGGCATGGCTCCCCATGCCCCAGCGCTGTTTTGGGAGGGATGTTGGGCGACTGCTGGGTGCTGGGGGTGGCTCATGGTGGCCCGGGGGCTCCCTGCCAGCGCTGCCCCCACGCGCAGCTTGCCGAGCTCACACCTCCCACGCCGCACACGCCGCGCACCCCACGCCTGTCCCCCCACGCCGACCAGCCCCCCACGCCCTTCCCACCCCCAGGCAGAGCAAATCCTGCTCCCCCAAGCCCGGGGGATCCGTGTCCATCAGCTCAGAGCCCAGATCAGCCGAGGGAGCTGTGCTGTTCTCCCAGGATCCCTGGCATGGCTGGCACTCGGCCTCGGCGCTGTCCTGCTGTCCCCATGGCCTCACTCCCTCAGACATCCCCAGCACTGCTGATGTATCCTCATCTTCCTGCCAAAAAAGCCCCCTGACTCCCTCCAGAGCACCCTGATCTTACATAAACCGGGCTGCCAAGGATTGCTCCAGCCGGATGCTGGAGTTGAAGCACTTGTCTGATTCAGCCCAGCTCCGGAGTGGGAGCAGGAATTGCTCCCCTGCTTCAGGTGGAAGGGGCTGCACCCACCTGGGATGTGAGCCTGGGGATGCTGGCAGTGGAGATGGAGGGACCTGGGCCAGAAGAAGGTTGGAGACTCTCTTCTGATCCAGTCTAGAGATCAGGAGACATCACAGCTGCCTCCTGCCTCAGATACTTTGGGGATGCTCAGTGATTTCACCCCGGGGACAGCTGGAGCTGTAGCTCCAGACTTCCCATGGGAATCCTCCGTGTTGGGTTTGGGTTGAGCTGCTGAAACCATGGCTGTGGGGGTGGATGAGATGGGGTGGCCGAAGGATGCCCCAAATCTGTTTTTGCCCTTTCCATCCCTAGCAATGCTGTTCTCCTCCCTCCTTCCACCTCTTCCCAGCTGGGATCCTAAACCAGACAGGAGCTCTGGGATGGGACCAGCCCCATCCTGGGTGCCCACTGCCCAGCATCCCTGAGGGGATGGGACAGGCTGGAGGTGTCTGCTGTGAACCAGGCTCATTCTCAGTCCTCTCCCCATCCTGAATGTCCCATGCTCCCTACATCCTTATTTCTCAGGAGGGCTACCCCGAAAGGGCCGGGCGGTCGCATGGTGGTGTTCATCTTGTGTAATCTCCGTTCCCACTCACCTAAAATGAATCATCCTTTGATAGGTGAGAGAAATATAATTAGTGTTTGCATTGTTAGCACTGGCTGAGTAGGCAAGTGGGTTTTCTTGGCCCGGGCTGGGAATATTCCTGCCGTGGGGAGAGGGAAGCGGAGAGCTGGGAGCTGCTGGGGTGGGGCCCTGCCAGCCTGTCCTGCTCCATGTCCCACTTTCCCAGCCCTGCAGTGGCACTTGGTGACACCTCTCTTAGCAGGTGCACCAGGAGCTAGAGACCAAATGGCTTGGGAGTGGTTGAGGAGGGGGAAAAGCACGGAACGTTTCCCAAAAGCCAGCAGAAAGGGCTGCTCCCTGGGGACCTGCCTGTCTGGGAAGGGGCTGCACCCCCTCACCTGAGCAGGTGGTTTGGGATGAACCACCGCCAGCCTGGAGGCTTGGAATGACCAAAAGAAATAAACAACAAAGACATCTTTAAGGTCCTTTCTGACCCAAACCATTCTCAGATCCCACAGCAGCCTCTCCCCACCCCAGCCTTCCCCCGAATTCCTGCACAGGGAACCGAGAGGGAGGGCAAATTTCCATCAGGATCTATTCATAGCACGGATGTCAGAATTACCTTAAAAGTACCAGCTCTTCCCCTGTGCTCTTCCCTTGTTTTGCTGCCGGGAAGGAATTGTTGATGCACTTTAAACAGTGGGCGGAAAAAAGCAAATACAAGAGCGCCCTGATCCTCGATCCTCCCGTTCCTGCAGCGCCCAGACACAGCCAGAGCTGGTCCTAAAAACCCCCTCAAAACCTAATAATTCACTGTTAAAAGTCAAGGTTTTGGTGATGGAGCATCTCAGTGTCTGGGTTGGGGCTAGGAGCTGCTCGCAGTGGTTCTGGGAGAGCAAAACCGGAGACGTCAGGAGCTGCCGGGCACAGAAAAATGAATCAAAATACTAAATGAAGATTCTGACCAGCCTCATTAAAAATAAATGCTATGAACTCATGGTAATTACTTCTCTCACTGGAACATGCTGCTTAGTTTCAGGTACAGCTCAGGACAGAGGAAGAAGGATTTTGACCTCGGAGGAAAGAACATGAGGCAGAAATTGCCAGACAGGCCTCACTCCATCTTTCCCAAGTTTTTTATCCAGGCTGTGATTTTTCCAGGGAATTGTGCAGGACCCCAGCCTTGGGGAGCCCATGGACCCCCCTCTCCCTGACCCACAGCAGAGGGTGACTTCAGCCCTGCAGACAGTGTTAATGTCATTTCACTGGGGTGGGTTTCTCATGGCTTTGAATGCAAATCTCAGGATATTTGCATGTGATTTGATATCCCATGGGGCTCCTCGTGGTTGGGTGACATCTGCTCCTGGAGCTGAACATTTTTTTTTTTCCTTTAGAAGCTCCAGCTTGTGGAATCATGTGATTTTGCAAGATTTTCAGCTTCAGTTTGGAAGCAAGGTTTCCACC